GGGGGGGGGGGGGGAGAGAGAGAGAGAGTGGAGAAATAATTGGGGAGAGAGCGGGGCGGAGCAGAACAGAACAGAACAGAACAGATGTGTGTGAGACTGAGCCGGGTGATGTGTGAAAAAGAAGTGCAATTATTAAACAACAATTGTCTCTTATTTACTCATCACATCGTCTTGCTTTGCTGTCTTCACATTCCCATTCATTTTCCAAACTCTCCAATTCCTTTCCCGTTTACCCTTACACTCCCACTTTCACTTCCTTCCCCTTTGGGCTTTCACCCCAACGCTACAGCCCACCGCCTGTGTCCATTCTGGATTCTTTTCACTCCTCTTTCCTTCTTCCGTCACATTAACATACATTATGCATTTTTACGTCACTACAATAACTGGATGTCTAATTATTTATTGTGCGATTCTATACGAAAAAAATCATAATTTTTTGTCCTTCAAAAATAATAATATACAAATTTATTGTACCAATATTATATTAACTATACAGATATAGTTCAAAATTCTAAAATATTATNACAAAAATTCTATCTATGGAACCTAAAAAAAAAAAAAAAAAAAAAAAAAAAAAAAAAAAGTAGAAATATCTATAATCGCATCCCAAAGAAAAAACTATAATATTAATCATTCATGTCGTGTTAGCTATTTTACTTAAGAGCAATAACAACAGTGCTACCAAGTTTTGAGAAAAAAATTTGAGATTAGTAGTTATATGTTAATTTCTTCGAAGAACCAGAGTAAAAAAAAGGCATCAATCAATTTTTGCCTATATTATGTTTGCAATAATTAAACACACAAACCCAATAAAAATCTATTGCAACACTAAAAAATAAAATAATGCAAAATCCTCTTGGTCCTACTCAATTCTAAATTAAAACTAAGAAATTTATCCATCTACTAATAACATAAATATTAAGATGAGCATAGTTTAATAGACATAAAACATATACCTTCAGGTCATTGTTTCCAATTCTTCATTTATAATGTATAAAAATTTACGTTTTATATTTTTCGAAACAAGAATACATGTGCAGTATAAAAATACCGAGGGGGCAAATTGCACCTATAAAGCAACACAACTTAGACTCGTTGCTGAGCTCCTCCTTATAAGTGGATTGGATCTACTTAATACCTCAATATTAATTAAAAATAAATAAAAATTCTTCCTCTGGTGTGAAGTGGAACTCCGTTTTCAAGTCATCCAGGAATTACATGAATGAGAATGACAGAAAGCGTAGATTCGAAGTCAGTTAATACACACAAACCAGTCTTAAAGTCTGGGTATCAATGTTCCTATATACAAATATATATTATATCAACTTTGCTTGTAAGCAACATTTTGTAAGCTACACACAAGCACATTCATTCAACCCTCCTAGTATAAATGGTTCCCTATATCTCTTCGTTTCCATCCAACTCTTTCTTTGTCTTCCTCCAATAAAAAATATTTGCGAATTCCAAAACTAGAGAGCTAGCAATGGCTCTGCCTAAGTCACTGCTTCTAGCGCTATGCATGTGCGTTTTTGTCGTAGCAAGTTGTGGGAAGGACTTTTCAATCGTGGGTTACTCAGCAGAAGACTTAACTTCCATGGATAAACTTATTGAGCTCTTTGAAGAATGGATATCAAAGCACGGCAAGATTTATGAGACCATCGAAGAAAAGTGGAATAGATTTGAGGTGTTTAAAGACAACTTGAAGCACATTGATGAAACAAACAAGAAAGTGAGTAGTTATTGGCTTGGACTTAATGAGTTTGCTGATTTGACCCACCAAGAGTTCCAAAAGATGTATCTTGGCCTGAAAGTTGAGTCGTCTCGAACAAGGCAATCCCCAGAAGAGTTCACCTACAAGGATATTGTAGATTTGCCCAAGTCGGTGGATTGGAGAAAGAAAGGAGCTGTGACTCGTGTCAAGAACCAAGGTTCATGTGGTAAGTAATATGTCAACTCCCATTTTGCGTTCCTATATCTAACTTTATCCAATAAAGAAGTAACCAATATTCAGCAGTAATTTGAATGGGCTTTGAAATTACACAGGTAGCTGCTGGGCATTTTCCACTGTTGCTGCAGTTGAGGGGATAAATAAGATTGTTGGTGGAAATTTGACTTCGTTATCAGAGCAGGAACTAGTTGATTGCGATAGACCTTATAACAATGGGTGCCATGGGGGCCTCATGGACTACGCATTCTCTTTTATTGTCTCTAGTGGCGGACTTCACAAGGAAGAAGACTACCCTTATCTCGAGGAAGAAAGCACTTGCGAGAACAAAAAGGTAAAACTACCTACTGAACCCCGGAGCCCATTTTTGGGCATTACATGGGACCAGATATATAAAACCATATCCAAAAAAGCTCAGAAATGTTCAAATTTCTTCCCTGCAGAGGGAACTGGAGGTAGTGACAATCTCTGGCTATAAGGACGTACCAGAGAACAATGAAGCCAGCCTCATAAAGGCATTGGCACACCAGCCACTCAGCGTGGCCATAGAAGCTTCGGGAAGAGATTTCCAATTCTACAGCGGGGTAAGCAAAATTTGGAACTGTTATGGATATTGCTGCATCTACTATTTGGCTCTAGTGCATAATAACATTACAACTTTGTGCAGGGCATTTTCGACGGACCCTGTGGAACAGAGCTTGATCATGGAGTCGCAGCCGTTGGATATGGATCATCAAAGGGAGTGGACTACATCATTGTGAAGAACTCGTGGGGACCCAAATGGGGAGAGAAGGGATTTATAAGAATGAAGAGGAACACTGGGAAGCCTGCAGGGCTGTGTGGAATCAATAAAATGGCTTCCTATCCTACTAAAAATAAGTGAAGAAAGTAACTATGTCTTGTTCCCTACATTATATTCCAAATATATGGCTTTGACTTTTATTTCTTTGTTTTCTTCTGTCTCCCACAGGGACACATAATTCTGAAGCATATGTATTGACAATGATATTGTGAGAGAAAAACGATGAAACATGAACCTTTGTTTGATACTGTGTTGTACACGACATTATAATATGCAATTAGATCATATACGATTGGTTGAATGTAAGGCTTGGCAGCAGGGAAATAATCCAATCAGCTTTAGTACTTGTGATGAACGGAATTAGTTGAGTAATTGTAGTAAAGATAGTCAGATTCATAGTCCATTACAGTTATTCGTTCCTTGATTTGGTAGAAATATGTTAAACTCCTTCATCATTTTTAATTACTCTAAACTTTGATTTCTAAGACTTTCTAAGCCATGAATATCAAAGAGATGAAGATGTTGTCAAATTGTCGAGAAATACGCAAGAACATCGCAATCTCAGGCATAGTGTAAAAGTCGTGATACGCACCTGGAAGTGCAGCCACCATAAGAATCACCATCAAGCATCTTGCAGTCCCGCGATGATAGGTCCACTTTCCGATGGGCAGCAGGCGGAAGCAGACGGAACTGAAAAGCCGAAGACTCGAAACATTACGGCTGCGTCCACCGCAGAGCCTGTCATGGTGACGGTGAGGGTGGGTTTTGTGATGGTAAGGAGTTGGTCCGTTGGATAATCGTGATGATGGAAGAAAAACCGAACAGAAATCAAAAGCATCCGTGAAAAGGGTGGTGGCAGCAATTACGATGAATTTGAAAGGGGAATAGGTGAATTTTGGCGGTATGGAAGCAGTTGGAGCGCCACCTAATTACACTAAAGCCTCTTGTTATTTTTATTTAATTATAATTAAATTTGTTTTAATATGTAAATGGACCTAATTACTAGGCTTTTAAGTCAAGTCTCTTGTTATTTTTATTTAATTATAATTAAATTTGTTTTAATATGTAAATGGACCTAATTACCCTACGCTTTTAAGTCAAGTCTCTTGTTATTTTTATTTAATTATAATTAAATTTGTTTTAATATGTAAATGGACCTAATTACCCTACGCTTTGTTATTTTTATTTAATTATAATTAAATTTGTTTTAATATGTAAATGGACCTAATTACCCTACGCTTTTAAGTCAAGTCTCTTGTTATTTTTATTTAATTATAATTAAATTTGTTTTAATATGTAAATGGGCTTTTAAGTCAAGTCTCTTGTTATTTTTATTTAATTATAATTAAATTTGTTTTAATATGTAAATGGACCTAATTACCCTACGCTTTTAAGTCAAGTCTCTTGTTATTTTTATTTAATTATAATTAAATTTGTTTTAATATGTAAATGGACCTAATTACCCTACGCTTTTAAGTCAAGTCTCTTGTTATTTTTATTTAATTATAATTAAATTTGTTTTAATATGTAAATTGAAGTTGGGCCAAGGAGAATGGGAAGAAGTGAAAGTAAAGCTTTGGTTGGTAAGGTTGGGAGGGTGGTGGGTAGACGGTTATGTAGCGGTCAAGGTGATTTGGATGCTATAAGTTTGAAAGGGGTGTTGTAATATATGACCCAGTTTTGAAAAACATGGAAAAGGGATTGGAAATCCGATGAAACGAACGCGGGTTTCGAGAAGAATACTGAAGATTTTGGTGTCTGAAAATTCGAGATTCACAAAGTGAAGAAGAGTGAGTTGTGAGGGGATTTTGGTAAAGGGAGTAAAGGGAAGTTGGACCCGTCAAACCCAATCATTTTGAATGCTTCAAGTTATTGAAAACAGGGGATTCTTGAATCTTGGAGTGGGAATCCCATGACACACATTACAGCCTCCTCGTATTCTGCTTCCACTTCTCTGTCTGCTCTCTTGTCTTTGGATGTTGTCTTTGGAAAAAGTAAAACACTAGATTGAATCGGGGGTCGCCCTTCTGGAACACCCATCTCGGCCCCACTTTGCTTCTTCCAAACCCCCTCTATTTAACCCCCCTCTCCTCCTCCTCTGCATTTCACTCTTCTGGAAGCATTTCTTTCAATCCATTCGCACCTAAACGCCTTCCATGGAGGTACCATTCAACTTCGAACTTCTTCTTTCTCTTTTTTTCTTCTTCTTTTTTTGAGGAGACTAACGTTGTTCTTGGGCTGTGTGTCTCAGACAGTTGAGTTCAAAGTAGATATGGTCGGAATCCACGAGAAAAGGCTCAGGAAATGTCTGCACAAATTGAAAGGTAATTGGTGACAAAGGGTGGTTAGATTAGACGCACAAATCTTGATGTTTGCTTTCAATCATTTGACTCAGGTGTGGAGAAGGTGGAGGTGGATGCGAACAGCCAGAAGGTGGCGGTGACCAGCTACATTCACCGGAACAAGATACTGAAAGCGATGAGGAGAAGTGGTCTGAAAGCCGATTTCTGGTCGGCCCAAAACGAGCTTCTTAATGCATACGCCGCCACTTACGGAGCCTTCAGATTCTGCTCCTACAACGCCTTCTTTTAGAACTTTCACCTTTTTTTTTTCTTATTTTATTTTTGATGGGAGGGGTATAAATATTTTCATTTAGGCTGCCATTCAACTGCCTATTGTAATTTTAAGCACAAGCAACTCCAAAACAAATCTCAGAATGAATAGCTTTTAGTTGGAAATTCTTTTATATTTTTTAAAATTAGATTAGAAATCCTTATTAAATATTTAAGAATATATAAATTTTGGAATCTAATAAAAAAAAAAAAAAAAAAAAAAAA